CACCGATTTTAGAGCTTTTAAGATCCTATGTGGCACTCGAATAGCTTATGCTTCAGGATTATATAGATATATAGATTCCTCTACAAATGCTCTCTACCGGATATTTATAAAGGCTATCAATCAATCAATATTTGTAGAAATGAAATTAGAGAAATAGGTCGTGTAATGAAGAAGATGAAGAGAGAAGAAGATTAAGGGGATGGAAATGAAATGGAAACATATAGATATTTAATTTGAAGGGGAAGGGTTCATAGAATCTGAAGAGATTAAATACATCGCCAACCACGAACCAATCACATGCTGCCACATTTCCATCAATCAATCACATGCAGACACTTGCACAAATTTCAGAACTTCTAAGATCCTACGTGGCGCTTAAATACCCTATGCTTCAAGATTATATAGATATATAGATTCATCCGCAAATGCTCTCTACTGGATCTTTATAAGGGCTATCAATCAATCAATATTTCTAGAAATGAAATTAGAGAGATGGGTCGTGTAATGAAGAAGATGAAGAGACAAAGCGATGAAGAGGATGAAGAGAGAAAACGATGAAGAGGATGAAAATGAAATGGAAACATATAGATATTTAATTTGAAGCCGTAGGGTTCGTAGAATATGAAGAGATTAAATTCATCACCAACCACGAACCAATCACATTCTGCCACTTATCCATCAACAAATCACATGCTAAAATCCACCAATCAATCACATGCAGACACTTGCACCAATTTTAGAGCTTCTGAGATCTTACGTGGCACTCAAATATCCTATGCTTCAGGATTATATAGATATATAGATCCCTCTATAAATGCTCTCTACCGGATGTTCATAAGGGCTATCAATCAATCAATATTTCTAGAAATGAAATTAGAGAGATGGATCGTGTAATGAAGAAGATGAAGAGAATGGAAATGAAATGGAAACTTATAGATATTTAAGTTGAAGGTGAAGGGTTCGTAGAATCTAAAGAGATTAAATACATCAACAACCACCTACTAATCACATGCTGCCACATATCTACCAACCAATCACATGTAGACACTTGTACCAATTTTAGTGCTTCTGAGATCCTACGTTGTGCTCAGGATTATATAGATATACAGACTCCTTTGTACTTGCTCGCCACCGGATGTTTATAAGGGCTATCAATCAATCAATATTTGTAGAACTGAAATTAGAGAGATGGGTCATGTAATAAAGAAGATGAAGAGGATGGAAATGAAATGGAAACATATAGATATTTAATTAGAAGGTGAAGTGTTCGTAGAATGTGAAGAGATTAAATACATCTCCAACCACCAACCAATCATGAGCTGCCACATATCCACCAACCAATTGCATGTTGCCACATATCCACTAACCAGTCACTTGTAGACACTTGCACCAATTTTAGAGCTTCTAAGATCCTACGTGGCGCTCAAGTAGCCTATGCTTCAGGATTTTATATATATATATATATCCCTCTGCAAATGCTCTCTACCAAATGTTTATAGGGGCTATCAATCAATCAATATTTGTAGAAATTAAATTGGAGAGATGGTTCGTGTAATGAAGAAGATGATGAGAGAAGAAGATGAAGAGGATTGAAATGAAATGGAAACGTATAGATATTTAATTAGAACGTGAAGGGTTCGTAGAATGTGAAGAGATTAAATACATCACCAACCACCAACCAATCACATGCTGCCACATGTCCTACAACCAATCACTTGCAAACACTTGCACCAATTTTAGAGCTTCTGAGATCCTACATGGCGCTCAAATAGCCTATGCTTTAGGATTATATAGATATATAGATCCCTCTGCAAATGCTCTCTACCGGATGTTTATAAGGGCTATCAATCAATCAATATTTGTAGAAATTAAATTAGAGAGATGGGTTGTGTAATAAAGAAGGTGAAGAGAGAAGATAATGAAGATGATGGAAATGAAATGGAAACGTATAGGTATTTAATTTGAAGGTGAAGGGTTCATAGAATGTGAAGAGATTAAATATATCGTCAACCACCAACCAGTCACATGCTGCCACATATCCACCAACCAATCACATGTAGACACTTGCATCAATTTTAGGGCTTATGAGATCCTACATGATGGTCAAATAGCCTATGCTGCAGGATTATGTAAATATATCAATGCTGTAGACATTTATTTTGGGTATTATTAAATATTTATATAAAAGAATATAATTGAAATTATAATTTTACCCCAAATAAATGATTTTAAAGTTTTTTTTTTTTTTTTTTTTTTTTTTTTTGTAATTGACGAAAAAAAAATTAATTTTAACTTTAAGCCAGAAGAAAAATACTTTAAAAACTCCTTGAAAAGATTTAAAAATAAAAATGGACTTGGAATGTTGACATAGTTCACGTTAATGAATAAAATCTTTATAAATGAAAATACAACTCCAAAAATTATGAAATTTCAAACTGAAGCATTTTGTATTTTTTTTTGTTTTTTTTTTTTAGGATTTCAGTGAATATGAAATCAGCAAAAAGTGACTAATGAAAAGTTAACAAATTGTCAAAACGGGATTATTTTCGTAATTTTCCATTTTTAGTGAAAAACCTAGAAAAAATATGTAATTTCATGCCTAATGCATGTATGATGATGTGATTACACACAATGCTATTTTAGGAATTTTTTTTTAATAATTTATAAAAAATTATTTTGAAAATTATTTGGACTTGGACATTTTAATCATTTTTGTAGTTTATTAAGATTAACATCCCCCCAAGTGGGCCAATTTAAGAAGTACATCCGCTCCAATAAACCTTATTGGACACCCTATCCTAATTCCTACCACACCAATCTCTTGAAGAGGATTAAGAGAATATACCTGGACCAAGACCCAATCTATTAATTTGGTCTTAGAAATAATTTGGGCTTTTGCGGCCTGCCTTGGCGAAAGTGGACATCAACACTCTTATATATTTTTTATTTGTTTTTGTTATTTAAAATTCAATGCCATTTTTTTTAATTATTAAAATTACAGTTATTAATAATTAATCATATTATAAATGGATTAATGATGTTATAATAAACTGATTAAACGTTACATAAATGTGCTCGTATTTTATAAACAGGTTCGCATGTTATAAATAAATTCATAGGTCATAAATGAGTCACTTGTCATAAACTAGATTGAGTTAAAGACTTTTTTCTCACCCAAATAATGGCTTAATGGCCTTTTTTACCCACAAATTTATACATATTTACTACCCAAATTATATTCTGACAGCAAACAAATAACAAACTCGGTCTAGGATGATGAGGTTTTGAAGAGGGGAGACCGATAAGTCTTTTGATAGTGGAAGGTTAGGTTTTGGTGATTAGAATTTATCAAAATTTAACTTGGAAGGGGTAACTGTGCAAACTATAATCGTTCGATTATCGGCGATTGACAAGGTTGGATGGAAATAGGGTTCAAGGGGTTTTGGTAAGTGATGGTCGGAGAAGAGAATAGTGGTTGTATGAGATTGCAACGATATTGAAATTGAAAATAAAATATAAATTTAAATAATAAAGTGATAATTTAAAAGTATATGAATGAAAAAATGTGATAAAACTATGATTTGGGTATTAATAAAGGGGTTGAGTTTTCCAAATATTAGTAGGGTAAACCCAACCCATTTAAAGTTTAAACCCTGTCATGTTGGTGTTGGATTGGCAAGTCATGTCAAGAAAAATTGTCACCCCTAATAAATATTAAACCCTGTCATAAGGGGTTGAGTTTTTTGGTCTTTGTTTTGTATACTTTTTGAAATTAGTGCTTTATCTGCTTACTTTAGAAAATAACTTTTCCCTTATTGATAATATTTGTTTTTTTGTTATTTGAGAAAGTAGATGATTATTTCCTACCTAATTTTCTTACTTTACAACAGAGAAAAACTAATGTCTACTAATTGAAAAATAATTGGGCGGTCAATTTAACTTTTATTTTTATAAATAAACCTAAACCTACATAAGTTTTGACGGATTTGCATTCATTAATTGTCAAAGTAAACTCTCATTTCGGTTTATGTTTGTACGCCACCGAATTAAATCATACAATTCGTAGTAGATGATAAAAGTAATATACTTTTTTTTTTTTTTTCCTTAAAAATATTATTAGTAACGCGCAAATTAAGGCAGAAGATATAATGATAAGAAATTGATGAGGTCTCTGCCGGCTTGTCTTCAACCACTTGTTTCTCAATCACCCATTTGTTTTTTATAAAGTCCAAGACTCTGAACGGTCAATTTTGACAAACAAATTAATATTAAAGGAATATGAAAGAATTTTTCAACATCTTGACCTTTCTATGCTTTGGATGCATGCATAATCAACAAAATACGGTATTCATCATATTATTAACTCCCACCTTCTATTATACGGTATTCATCATAGTCAACTTTTTTATATATCTTTTCTATTCCAATATTGCCCTCTTGTTTTTTATTTTTTATTCTGATTCATAGACCTAAAGCATGTAATTATACCCTTGGCTTCATCCTATTTTCTCTAAATTTACATTTTAATTTCTCACTTTCTCTTCTCCTCACCAGTTCTTGGATGATGAAGCATTTCAACATATGGGCCTGAGATTTAATTTGTAATAATGGCAAAATTGTCTGTCTTTCAATGGATCAAGATATGTATATGAATTAAAAGATTTATATTCTCATGATAATCTTATTTTAAGTAATTAGGTCCAAATCAATACATACATATATATATACAGTAAGACTATACTTACGATCTCCATACTGACTCTGATATACTTACTAACGTGATAGATTTGTGTAGGAGGTTAAACTAATATAGCACATAAGGTGATATTTATCATGTCGATTTTCACGTTAGTCAGGATGTTAAAGTCAGTATAAAGGGTTGTAAGTGTAATCTTCCTTTTATATATATATATATATATATATATATATTCTTTAAAAGAAACCGTGTATATGTGAAGTTCTTTCAATTTGTTGTTTCGTCCTTTCTAACAATTGTAGGTTAGGTTAAAGTCGGAATTTGGAAAATAGTTTTAAGACTAGGATTTTAATTGTATAAATGTGCGGTATGGAACCATCACTCTAGTTTCTGCATATGTTAGAGAGGTTGATGAATAGAAGCAAAAGGTATCAAAATGGCAAAGAACTTGTCAGGATTTTTCTTCTTCTCCTTCATTCTCATACACCTTCTTGCTCTTTCCATTAACGCCCAGCCAGAGTTCCTGATAGATTCATGTCCAAATGATTCTGGAAATTACACTACTAACAGTACCTACCAAGCAAACCTTAACACCATCTTGTCCTCCATCTCCACCGGAATAGACTCTGGTTTCTACAATGACTCTTTTGGTCAAGCACCCAACCAAGTAAACGCAATTGTTCTTTGTAGAGGAGATGTTTCACTAGACGTCTGTCAAGGTTGTGTCAGAAACGCTACTCGAAAGATCTTTCAAAACTGTCCCAACCAAATGGAAGCAGTTGGATGGTATGACGAATGCATGATTCGATATTCCAACAAATCTATTCTCGGTGTAGTTGACACTGGATTAGGTGGCTACCTCTGGAATCAACAAAATGTCTCGGATAATTTGGTCGATGAGTTCAACCAGGAATTGCAAAGTTTGTTAACTAGTCTACGAAACACAGCTGCTTCAGGGAATTCTCTTCTCAAGTTTGCAACTGGAAATACAACAGTAAATTTTCAACCAGTATATGCACTTGTGCAGTGTACTCCTGATTTGTCCAAGACGCAGTGCACTGAGTGTCTAGATGAAGTTATTAAACAAATTCCAGCTTGTTGTCAGCAAAGGATCGGAGGGAGGGTTCTTATGCCCAGTTGTAATTTCAGGTTTGAGAGTAATGACCTTTTCTTCAATCCAACACCGGACTCACCACCACCATCGCCATTGCTGCCACCGCCAGCAGAACCGCCAGTAGAAGGTAATACCGAAATAAGGCATTTTTTTTTTTCTCTTTTTTTTTTTTTCCCAATTTTGTTTTGGCTTAGAATATCTATTCGAAAATTTAAACTGATTCTCTTTGTCACTTATTCTGAAATGAAAACCTATCATATTCTCTGATTGGTTTTAAGTGTTTCTCTGCATTATGACATGTCATTTGAGTTGAATTTCATGTATTAACCTAGTTTAGGAAATTAAATTAAATTTTAAGACATTCATAAATTGTGTGCACAAGTTTTTAGGTTGTCTATTAAAGATATCGATTCTTTGACCAATTAAAGTCCGGCTTTCCTTATGCTACTATTTTTAAACTAATGATAAACTTGTGGTTTTCGCAGGGAATAACAATAACACAGCTCGAACTGTTATTATCATCGTTGTTCCAGTAGTTAGTGTTGTGATACTTATCATATGTATCTGTATCTTCTTAAGGATGAGGAAGCAGCCAAAGAGAAAAGTTGAAAGTAAGTCAATTGGTTACTTTTATTTTTTAACTATTGGAAACATGATTCCTGTAATTTAAAGAAATTATGAGTTAGCATGATAAATGCTCTGCTAAACTCATCATAACCATAGCAAATGTTACATTGAAAATTGCTTATACAACAATTTAAGCTCGTCATTCACATGCTATCCAAGTGCTTGAAGAAACTAGTAATTTGATTTTCTTATGACCTAATTTGTCCTTAGGTACTGAAGCTGTGGATGAAATCAGTCGGGTAGAGTCCTTGCAATTCGAATTCAATACTATTAGAGTTGCAACAGATAACTTTTCTAATGCAAATAAGCTTGGACAAGGAGGATTTGGTGCTGTTTATAAGGTAATAAAGGTTATTATTCTTCCGCAGCTTATATTTATTAAATTAAGAAGTTCCAACTCTCGAAGGTCATTTATACAACTTTCACCTGCTCTACTATCAGGGTATTCTTTCCAATAGGCAAGAAGTGGCTGTGAAAAGGCTCTCTATGGGTTCTGGACAAGGAGATTTGGAATTTAAGAATGAAGTCCTATTAGTGGCCAAGCTTCAACACCGGAATTTAGTCAGGCTGCTTGGTTTCTCCTTGGAAGGAAATGAAAGGCTTCTCATATACGAGTTTGTGCCTAATACAAGCCTCGATCATTTCATATTCGGTATGGTTCCTTTTCTGTAATGACTTCAGGTTTTTTGTGAAATAATTTTACTTCAACTAGAATGTTATAAATGAGATGAACTAATACACTATAAATCTCAATGTCATTACATTTCCTTTCAATTTTATTTTAAAGATATTACAGATACTTAGTGGTCAGTATAATTTTGGTACATTGAATCATATTGCTAACTATACATGTATATATAGATCCCTTGAAACGTGCACAACTAGATTGGGAAAGGCGTTACAAAATTATTGGAGGTATTGCTCGAGGACTTCTTTACCTCCATGAAGACTCCCGCCTAAGGATAATTCACCGTGACATGAAAGCTAGTAACGTTCTATTAGATGAGGAGATGAACCCTAAGATTGCAGATTTTGGTATGGCTAAAATGTTTGAGCTGGATGAGACTCAAGGCAATACAAGTAGAATAGTAGGGACCTAGTAAGTACTGCAAATTAAAGTTAGTAATGATAAATATAATGTTTAAGTGATGAAAAAATTTTGCTACCATTCAAATTGAAATGAATATTCTTTGTTTTGAAGTGGATATATGGCTCCAGAGTATGCAATGCACGGGCATTTCTCAGTTAAGTTGGATGTATACAGCTTTGGTGTGTTAGTTTTGGAGATAGTGAGTGGTCAGAAGAATAATTGTTTCCGCAATGGAGAGACTGTTGAAGACATTCTAAGCTGTGTAAGTATAAATAACAACTAATATGGAAAAAAAATTATTATCTGTAGCTGACAAGATTGAATAGTTTAAAAATTATGTCTCCTTGTCGTTGTCATTGCTGTTTGCAGGCATGGAAAAACTGGAGGGATGGGACAACTATGAATCTCATAGATCCCAGTTTGACAAGTGGTTCAAGAACTGAAATGATAAGATGCATTCACATTGGATTATTATGTGTTCAAGAAAATGTAGCCAGTAGACCAACAATGTCATCTGTTGTTCTCATGCTTAATAGCTACTCCCTTACTCTTCCAGTTCCTTCAGAACCAGCGTTTTTTATGCACAGCACCATATCAGACATGTCGTCCTCGGTTGCCTATAGTTCAAGTATTAAAGAAGCAGATCGGACCAAGAATGACACTATTCCATTGACGGCAAATGAGGCATCAATTACAGATCTTTATCCTCGATAGTCTTCATTAAGAGTTGTTCCACCATTACTAAACACGATTCTGTTGAAACCTTGAACTACTCTGAAACCTGATTGTATAAAACGATTAATATATATTTTCATTCTTTCTGTTTGTTTTCTGATACATATTTATGAAATTACCCATATATCAGTATTTAATTTCTTTGACCTTTTCTCTCCATTTGTTATACAAATTCACTTTTTGACCTTCACAAATTTCTTATATTTTTTTTTTATGGAGTTAACGACCTTTTCCCATCCAAATAATGGTTTAACAACACTTTTCTACCTACAGACTTTTAGAATACCATTTTAATACTAAAATTTATATTCTGACAATGAACAAAAAGTAAACTCAGTCTAGGCTATTGGGACTTTTGGAGGGGGGGACTAATGAGTCTCTTAATAATGGAATGTTAGATTTTGATGGTTGGGATTGATCGAAATTTGACTTGGGAGGATGGTTATACAAACTCTAACCGTTTAATTGTCGGCAATTAATGAGGTCGGAGTGAGTAGGGCTTGAGAGGTTTTAGTGGGTGATGACTGAAGAAAAGAATGGTGGTAATGCAAGGTTGCAGCGATACTGAAATCAGAAACAAAATATAAATTTAGATAATTAATAAAGTAGTATTTTAGAAGTCAAATGTAGAAAGTGTCAGTAAACCGGGTGAGAAAAAAACCCTTTACTCTTCTTTTATAAGAATGATAGTCCATGAGATATCGTGGACACCACCTGGAACGTGGTTAAATCAGGAACCGGTAATAAATCCTTTTAAGAGAGGTAGATNGACCTTCACAAATTTCCTATATTTTTGTATAGAGTTAACGATTTTTTCTCATCCAAATAATGATTTAACAATACTTTCTCACTCATAGACTTTTAGAATACCATTTTAATACTAAAATTTATATTCTGACAATGAACAAAAAGTAAACTCAGTCTAGGCTATTGGGACTTTTGGAGGGGGGGACTAATGAGTCTCTTAATAATGGAATGTTAGATTTTGATGGTTGGGATTGATCGAAATTTGACTTGGGAGGATGGTTATACAAACTCTAACCGTTTAATTGTCGGCAATTAATGAGGTCGGAGTGAGTAGGGCTTGAGAGGTTTTAGTGGGTGATGACTGAAGAAAAGAATGGTGGTAATGCAAGGTTGCAGCGATACTGAAATCAGAAACAAAATATAAATTTAGATAATTAATAAAGTAGTATTTTAGAAGTCAAATGTAGAAAGTGTCAGTAAACCGGGTGAGAAAAAAACCCTTTACTCTTCTTTTATAAGAATGATAGTCCATGAGATATCGTGGACACCACCTGGAACGTGGTTAAATCAGGAACCGGTAATAAATCCTTTTAAGAGAGGTAGATGAAAAAATCAAGAACAAAACTCCGCGTTTAGATGCAAACATTGATAAGGTCAATTGTGGCTTGTCTTCAACCACTTCTATCCTAATCCGCTGTAATTTATATTTTAAAGTCCAAAATTGAACGGTATTATGTAATTCTACAATGAATTAGTACAGATATTGTCAAAACATTGACTTCAAATCCTTTGAATATACAAATTCAGCTGCAACAAAACATTCCAATATATTGTAACTTCGTAAATTTATATCCATAATTCAAATTTTACAAGCCGAAAGTGTAACAATGGCAAAAGGTTATTCAAGACTGCTTTTCTTCTTCTCTTCTATTTTCACACATCTTCTTGTTCTCTCCCTGGCCCAGCCGAACTTCGTAATCCAAAGCTGTTCAAATGACAATGGTAACTACACAAATAACAGCGCCTACCAAACAAATCTCAATAGCCTCTTGTCCTCCATCTCCTCCAATAACGAAATAGACTATGGATTCTACAATGAATCTTCCGGCCAAGAACCCGACAAAGTGAATGCAATTGCTCTTTGTAGAGGAGATGTTTCACTTGACGTCTGTCGAGGTTGTGTCAAAAACGCCACCCAAAAGATCTTGCAGGTCTGCCCCAACCAAAAGGAAGCCATTGGATGGTACGATGAATGCATGCTCCGATACTCCAACAACTCAATTTTTGGAGAGATGGAAATTCAACCATCGTTGGAATTGGTTAGTACACAAAACGTCTCGAGCGATGTGAATGCGTTCAATACGGGGCTGCAAGATTTATTGAGGAACTTACGGAGTACAGCTGCCTCGGGGAGTTCACATCTCAAGTTTCAAAAGGGAGATACAACTGCAAGTTTTCAGCCCATTTATGCACTCGTGCAGTGTACTCCGGACTTGTCTGGGGTGATATGCTCTGATTGTCTTGATCAGGCTATTGCAGAAATACCATCTTGTTGCAGTGGGAAGATAGGAGGCAGAGTTCTTACACCCAGTTGCAACTTCAGGTTTGAGCCTTACCGTTTCTTTGACCCAACGGCAAACTCGCTGCCGCCGCCGCCTACAGAAGGTAGATTGCTGATCAAGACATCTTTTTTTCCGTGCTGTTGTGAAAATTCTATCTGAACGACTTAACTTGTGCTAAAATGAAAGCTATCACAATTTCTCATTATTTAAACGTTTTTGTTCTATTTGTTCATGTAATTTGAGATGATATTTAGCATAAACCTAATGTAGAAATAGTAGTTTCCATTCCAGACATATATAATTTACGGTACAATTTGTTGGGTTCCCTAAAGATGACAAGTCTTTACTTGTTCGATCAATTAAACTTGGCCTCTCAGTATGCTGGTATTCTTTAATTAACGACGCACCTCTGTTTTTTTTTTTTTGCAGGAGACGGAAATAACACAGCTAGAACTGTCATCATAATTATTGTTCCACTAGTTGTTGTTGTGATACTTATCATCTGCATCTTCATCTTTCTCAGGATGAGAAAGCCAAAGGAAAAAGTTGATAGTAAGTGAAAATTGATTAATTTTCTTTAATTCCCTATTTGTGGTGCAGATCAATTTCTTCAAAAGCAAAGCTGAATAATGGTTTAAAATTAAACTAACATAATTGTTTATGTTCGGCAGATATCAACTAACGTTACCAAGGCGTTAACGTTCACCTAAATGTTTTCTTAACTTTTTTATTTTCTTTTTCCATGTTAGGTCTGGATCAAGTTAGGCTGATATTTTGTTGACGATGGCTCAATTCATAATATAGAATACTGATAACAAAAGTTAAATTGAGTTATTTACTGCCAATTGCGTTAACAAGATAGAAAGCTCCAATTTGATATTTTTCTGCAAATTCTTAATGAATGTACAATTTTAGTTCCCGTAGGACTATGAGCTAACTTTTCTTTTTAGGTGAAGCTGTGGATGATATTAGTAGAGCTGAATCCTTACAATTCGACTTCAACACTGTTAGAGTTGCAACCAATAATTTTTCTGATTCAAATAAGCTTGGACAAGGAGGATTTGGTGATGTTTACAAGGTAGAATATCATCCGTTGCCAAAACATTTTAACTCATGAAGTTTAAAAACTTGAAATCACATTCACTACATTCTGATGTACATTCAGGGTAGGCTTTTCAATGAACAAGAAATAGCTGTAAAAAGGCTATCTAAGGGTTCTGCACAAGGGGATCTAGAATTCAAGAATGAGGTACTTTTAGTGGCCAAGCTTCAACACAGAAATTTAGTCAGGCTGCTTGGTTAATCGGCAGCAAATGAAAGACTCCTCATCTACCAGTTTGTGCTTAATACAAGCCTGGATCACTTCATTTTTGGTATGTTCTGTTTCTGCAATGACTTAATTGTACTTGTAACGATTTCATTTTCATTATTGAAATGAATGAATCATTGTATCTAGATACAACCATATATAATTTGAATGTGATAATGTTAGTGATCATTATTATTTCATTGTATCGATCCTTGAATCGTATAGATCCCAAGAAGCGTGCACAACTAGATTGGGAAACGTGCTACAAAATTATAGGAGGCGTTGCTTGAGGACTTCTATACCTTCATGAAGACTCTCGCCTTCGTATTATTCACCGTGATCTCAAGGCTAGTAATGTTCTCTTAGATGCAGACATGAACCCTAAAATCGCAGATTTTGGTATGGCTAGGTTGTTTGAGCGAGACGAAACTCAAGGCAATACAACTAGAATTGTTGGAACTTAGTAAGTATTCTCAATGACTAAGAATTAATAATTGTAACTATTTAAGTCCCATTTCAATTTGGAAAAAGAGAAAAAAACTAACTTACATTTCAATTTGAAATAAATGTTGATCTTGTTATGCAGTGGTTACATGGCTCCAGAATATGCAATGCATGGACAATTCTCAGTTAAGTCAGATGTTTTTAGTTTTGGAGTATTACTTCTGGAGATTGTAAGTGGTCAGAGAAATAACTGCTTCCGCAACGGAGAGAATGTAGAAGACCTTCTAAGCTTTGTAAGTATAAACTAATTTTTGGAGAAGTTTTCAGTTTACAGAGTTCATGTATTCATTATTATTTAAATTTTGCAGGCATGGAAAAATTGGAGGGAAGGGACAACTACAAATCTCATTGATCCCACTTTGAGCGTTGGTTCAAAAAATGAAATGATAAGATGCATTCACATTGGATTACTATGTGTACAAGAAAATGTAGTGGACAGGCCAACAATGGCTTCAGTTGTTGTCATGCTCAATAGCAACTCCCTCTCCCTTCAACTACCTTCAGAACCAGCGTTTTTTGTGCACAACACTATGTCTGACATATCATCCTCGGCAAGCTATTCAAGAGTCACAAAGTTCGAACAGTTGAATAGCGAAACTGTCCCATTGTCAACAGATGAGGCATCAGTCACGGAGCTGCATTAACGATAGTCTTGAGAACCTTTGCATCATTTGTAAGTTCGTAGTGTTGAAATCCAGGGCAGTTGTGAAAAGTGACTATATTATTTGAATGCTTTTGTAAATTTGGAGCTTTAATTTTCATGCTTATCCTATTATGTGTGGCATGATGCTACAATAGGATTCAAACCTTCAAGCTCTTCAGCATGAAGATTGACCCTCGGTTGGTTTAGATTTATATTTTTTTGTCCTCTATTTGATACATTTATCTATAAAATTAGCTCACTGTATATCAGTAGTTCATTTCTTTTTGTTCCATAATTGCATTATTGCTGGGTAGACTTATACTTATTAGGTTCTCCGAGTATCTTCTTCCAGGCTGATAATATGTGTTTTCCTATAAGAATTTACTATTTCTCTCAAATGCATCTGTTTTGTGCTCCACTCACTTGTGCTTGTGCTTGGATGAATTCATCAAGAAGAATATTGGTTTATCGTGTAAGGCAAAAGGAAAATAGATATTTCTTTAAGAACTTCCATCACAATTAGGGGTGCAGTCGAACCGAGCTACTCGTGAGCTGTTCGGATTCGACTCTTGACGAGCTCGGGCTCGACTCGTCGGAAGACGAGTAGTTCACGAGTTCGAGCTCAACTTCAAGCTCGTGAAAACTGTCGAGCTTCTCGGGCTCGATTCGAACTGTTCACGAACTGTTCGAAGAACTTGCGACGTCATTCGAGCAGGTGAGCTCGTGAGATCGATCGACTAGGCAAAGCTCGCCTATTAAAATTTGCCCTAAAATGTGATATGAAGTCTTTCATTCGGCTGAAAACAGAGACATTCAGCTTTTCACCTCCGCCAAAACACACCGCAAGATCTGAGACACCACCATTGTCCAGCCTTCATCCAGCCTTCATTCAGCTACTACCGACCAGCGACCAGCTTTAGCTACTACCGTCCACCATCATCTTCCCTTCTTCACTTCCCTGTTGCCACAAGGTACATTTTCCTGCTTCTTGACACCCAAAGTTGTCTTCTGTCGTGAGTCTCATTCTTTAAACTTGTTTACGTTGATTACAAATTTCTTTGTTTTCCTCTCATCGTTTGTTTATGTTGACTTTGCTGCGTATTTGGAAATTGGAAGCTAGGTGATATGAGTTCCGTTAATTTTTGGAAGTTTGCAGAGAATTGTTGTGTTTGACGAAATGCCTCTTAGAGAAGAATTTTGATGGTTATGATGGTTATGTCGCTCAATTTCAGTGTCTTCTTCAGTAGTACATCAGACGTTAAAGATTGTATTAATGGGGACCTGAACATCACTATCTTCCCACCTGTATTTTCCAGGAAAAAAAAAAGAATTAGTGAATCCAACACACCCTTCCAACGGAAATTTGGGTCTGAGTTCTATGCTAGGTTTTTCCCCTTGGTTTGCTTTTTATTTGTGCTTCCTCCATGTGGTCCATAACTCCTGCAAATAAAGCTTTTTAGCTTTCAGTATATAAGAGATTTCATGTTCAAGAGGCCCTTTTTTTAGTCTTAATTTATGTACTAAGAGGGAGAGAGTAGAGAGTAAAGGTGATTCTAGTTGTAAAATATGCTTTGATTATATGTTGGTAAAGTGCTTTGCAACGGATGTGCAGGCCCCAAATTGAAGAGAAATTTCTGTTAAATGAATGGACTATTGAGCACTGATGTATAGCTCCAGTTACGGTGATCTTAAATAATTGACAACCAATTGTTGGTTTCTTTTCTGTAAAGTTGAAATGACGTATGGATAGATATGAATAATTTTCTCTCTTTGAGCTTTCACAACTATTTCTAACTTGTTTGGTTCTTTTTAAATTTATAATTTACTGAGAAATTAATGGCTATTGTAGTCCACTAATACATTATAATTTATATTGGGTAGAGCTGAAATTAATGTTGAAATTAATGTTTGCGTATGATAAATGATACATGACTTTAGTGAGTTATTGACATTTATCGATCATCGTTGTCTCCCGATACCGTGCAAATGCTACTCTGTGGTGGTGATTGGTGTCGCAATCTTTATGAAGTCAAGAAAAGTTACAAAGTAAGTATGATCCATTTTATTAAAATTATGTATTAATTTGGTCATTTATTAACATTATTTAAACTAAAACAATATGTTTTCCTTTTTGTTGTTTAGAAAGAGAAGATAAATGAGGAGTTTCGGCTTCCGATCCTATGAAGTTTGGTGGAATCTTGACAGGTTAGTGATGGTAAAAGTAACACATATATACTCTACTTTTCCATTTAGTGTCTCTGAAGTTGAATGAAAGAACAAGAATTAATTTGATGTCTCTGAAGTTGAATGAATGGAATAAAAAAATTTATGGTGATGCTGGAGAGGAAGATGCTGAAATTTAATGGGAAAAGGTTCATGTCCTTGCTTGGCTTTGAATTTGCAGTGTAGGCAGATATTACAGTCATCTTTAGTAAGGAAAATTTGTAGTTTAGTTAAATGATTTTTGGGTTTGGTTTTGTTGTGATTGAAAGGTGTCTCATTTAGTGGATTGGTGCTCCATATTTTTGTAAACTTTTCACTGTCTTGTAGAAGAACTGGGGAAATTGGGTGGAGCAACTGCACCATTTCTTTGTTTAAATGCTCTATAACCAAGAGGCAAGTAATATGTTGAGCAAGCTTTCCTGCGCTTGAAGCTTTCCTGTAACCTTTGAGTGGATTTTTTGCATTTAATATGGATTGCATCAGCTAAATTAGTCCCTTTTTTACAGCAAGATTTCCATATGTTGAGCAAGTTTTCCTGCGCTTGAAGATTTCCTGTAACCTTTGAGTTGATGCAAGAGAAGAGAAGCTTCATGGGTCAGGTGGATGCAAAAGAAAAGAAGCTGCTGGTCTTCTTGTTGATATGATTTGGCAGAAGAAAATAGGATACTTTTTGTTTCCCATGGACTGAATTCCATATGCTTAATGTTTGGTTTAGCTTATTTTTCACTTTTAATGGTGATTTTGTGATGAAGGTTTCATTTTCCCATGTTTGAATGTTAAAACAGTATGGTTTATTTATCTGAAAGACAATTATTGAGCATAAAGAAAATATGAAAACATTGTATATATGTAGCATGCTTTCCAGCATATACAAACATTGTATATATATATTAGCACTACAAAACATCAAGGTATATAATCTACTGAGCTTTATTGAGATATGCATTAATTAATTATATATTGTTATGCTACTTTAAGAATATTATGATGGGTTTGAAAGTGAGAATGAAAAAGAGTTGTGGAAGAAGGTGTAAATTGGAGTGGTAATTCACGTTGATGAGAAGAGGTAGATTTGGGAAAATGAAAGAAGAACAACAAAAAGCCGTGCTGTGTTTTGCTGGGAAAAAGCTGCAAACGGGCTTGGCTCGAGCTCGACTCGGCTCGGCTCAAAACTTGACGAATTAAGCCGAGTTGAGCTCGAACCATGTAACTTAATTATCGAGCCGAACTCAAGCTCACAAGCTGGAGCTCAACGAGCTCGAGCTTTCATTTTTTCTCACCGAGCCGAGCTCGACCTAGCCACTACTTGGCTCAGCTCGACTGCACCCCATTTATTCACAATCAACTATTAAATTTTGATTTGTCTAAAGAATTTAGAGACTAGAAGTCAAAACAAAAGTAAAAAAAACAACCGCATGGACAATATTTTATGGACTAAAAGACATGTTCCCCACCCAAGGTTTCGTAAGTTCCTATTTCCCACCCAAGGTTTCGTAAGTTCCCACTTCCCACCCTGGTTTTATAAATTTCAGAAATTAACACATTTAGTGGCCGTAGTGTTCTGACACAGATGAAAGGATACTATTATCATACTGCTTGAAAAATAAATTAATAAATTATTTTTAACCCTCAAATTAATGGAATTATTTCAATAACATCTTCTTCTTGGACCTTACACGATCCCCTCTCCATTCACCCAGCCACTGCTGCTGTCACCACCACCTAGCCACTACCACCATGACCACCCAGCCACTCCAACAAAATCAACCAGGATCCGCCACAAACAACCACCGGTAATCAAAGGAAGCTTCAGTCACATGCGACCAACATACCAATCAAACAAATCGGGACCACTTGCAGATGGCACGGCCAATCGCGCAGGGGATTCGCGCTGTGCAAGATCTAATAGGATCGGCAGAGCACGAATGATGTTGACGAAGGACACAAAGGGCATGGCAGGGTGGACTGGAGGCACCGACTGTAGGGAGAAAGCCCAAGAACTCGTAGCTCGGCAACAAGTGTCGCGCACTGGAATCGCGTGAACAGCACGCAAGATTGTGGCTGCGACAGCGAACGGGGAGCAAGGCGCGGGCCAGCGAAGGCAAGCACGCGGTCGGGGAGGGTCATGCATCAAGCTCACGTGGGCAAGCAAGCAAGAGATTGGCACGATCCAGCAACAATCGCATGCAATCTGGCAGAGGCAGGCGACGCAAAAGTGGTCGGCGCAACCACCAAAGGGGCAGGCGACGGAGAAGGTGAGGGGAGGCGGGGGAGGGTGAAGGTGAAGGTGAAGGTGAAGTTGGCATGGGGGGCGCCAGAAATGGCTAGGATCGCCAACGGCGGCACCCCCTGCAGCCATGAAGTTGAGAGAATTTCTCTAAAAAATTCCCCTCCTCTTCCTCCCCGTTTCCTAAACCCTAAACCCTAATTCTAAATTGCGTCTTTGGAGCTGGGATAATGTGAAAGTTGAAAGAGAGTATGTTAGAACTTAACTGTCATTAATAATGTTAATTTAAGGATGGAAATCTAAAATTTATGAAACGTGAGAGCTTGGAGATTTTCAAAACCTTGGGTGGGAACATGTCTTTTACTCTATTTTATGCAATTTTTCATGTTAATGCGTTTGTATCAGTAAAATAAAATCTGTGAAAGGAAAGAGCATATCAACCATGAATCAAATCATAAATCCATATTAAATCATAAATCCATATTAAATTAGAGTGATGCTATAGGTACTAATGGATGAGTACTAATATGTGTACTAATTAAAGCATAATATTCATATTATGTACATAGTATAAATACTATGTTTTAATTAATACGCATATTAGTACTCATCCATTAGTACCTAAAGTATTATTGAATTATAAAATCGGTACTGAATATAGCAAAGACTTGCCCTCTTTTTTGACAAAATATATGCAATCAAAATGATAAACTGTTTACCAGACAATTGACGGATTTACTTCAGATAACATTATTATATTCCATCACCAATTTTTGCGAGATGGCCAGGCCAGAGAAGTTGTTGACTTTGGCTGCCAAACGAGACAATTTCTAGATAAGAAGTGTGAGCAATCGATTTCTCGTCTTATTTTCAAATGTTTAGGTTGAAAAGGTGCAGTCTTCAACGTAATCAAGAAGAGGAATTAATACTTAACAACTCTCCTAAGAAATCCAGAATTAATTGTTATTACTAAACGAAGAATATGTCCAGGTTTGGTGCACTATCATTTATATTATTGTTTAAGAAGTACATTGCGCAGGTGCTGCCCTGTGGCACGCATAACAGCGTCTTGACTTGCTCTACCCCACTGAAATATAAAGTAGCCATAAGGCCCATAATCACCATGTTCCTGCAACCCACCTCCGTTCAATCCGAATATACAAACAATCATGTTTCCACAGCAATGGGGCGGTGTCTTTCTCTTACTTTTGAGCATAATATTTGGGCTTATTGGCTCCATCAATTGCCAGCAGCCAACGTACAATTCGCATTTCTGTTTAGATAGAAACAATACTAAAGCCACAAGGAATTATACATCAAACCTTTCAACCCTCCTGGATTCTTTATCATCTAAAGCTTCTCTTGACAGCTTCTACAAGGATTCATTCAATGGAATCTACGGACTCTTTCTCTGCAGGGGAGATGTTTCTACTGACTCATGCAAAAGTTGTGTCACATTTGCCAGTCAAAATATCACAGAACGTTGTCCATCTAATAGAAGTGCAATTATATGGTACGATCAATGCATGCTGCACTATTCTAACAAAAGTTTCTTTGGAGTTACACAATCATCTCCAGCTTTGTTGATGTGGAATACTGACAATAATAATAGTACTTCACCGGGTGAACCGAACTACGGAGCAGTGGGTCAGATATACACTCTTATAGAATCTGCTTCAAATACAGAGAAGATGTTTGGAACAGATGATAGAGTTGTACCTAGTGGGACTCAGCGTGGATATGCACTGGTTCAGTGTACCAGAGATATAAATATGAGTGCATGTCAATATTGTTTGGGGCAGTTGACAGATGACGTCCAGAAGTGTTGCCAAGATAGGAAAGGGTGGCGTATCTTGAACCCAAGTTGTAGTCTAAGGTACGAGGAATACCAATTCTATCAGCAACTATCGGCTACACCTACTCCTGTTCCGGCAGCGCCACAACCAGCAGTACCTAACGATGACGGTTAGTCAATTCTGACCAAAGAATCCCCCTCGCCTTTCAGATTAGATCACTCGTTGAATTTCTAGCTCTGCCAAGTGCCAAAAGGCATCATGGAAAATACCCATTTAGAAATGGAACAATAATCGTTAAATAGAAAATGAGCAATAAGTCAAACACTCTGACCTAGAAAACAAGAATACAATTCTCAGTCATGTTTCCCTGAATTGAAATTGTTTGCCTGGTTGATGCCATTAGACCAACAAATTAGTGTTTTTCTTTTATTGTTCCAGATTTTGGCAAGTTATGTCTAGGCAACACCAAGAAATTGTAATGTTGGAGGTTCTTTTGTGATATGTTACAATTGAATATTTTCTTTACATCAAAGCTCTTGATTTGGGGTAAACTTTATAATTATTTGTTATGTAATGGCAGGGAAAGGAAGAAAAAACACAGCCAAGATTGTAATCATCATTGTATCAACATTAACCACTGTTGCTGTAGCTCTGTTAGGTTTCTGGTATTATTCATCTGCCTGCAGAAAGAAAAGACTAACAGGTGCATAAAATAAAGCTTGTATGCTCAATATTAACCCCAAAATTGAATTTCTATTTCTTGACAAAATAATTTATCAATCAGGGGAAGGAATGAGCGAGGAAATTCTATTACCAAATTTCAAAGGCACAAATCGCTTAGAATTAATTGAGGGAACTATTCATGCAACAGAAGAACATCACAGTGGAGAGATGAATAGCTTCAGTTTAACTACCATACAAGCAGCTACAAACAATTTCTCTACTGCAAATAAGCTTGGTGAAGGAGGTTTCGGCCCTGTTTATAAGGTTGATATATATACTGATTGTATTATATTTTCTGATGCATGAATTGGCTATTAGGCATTGATTGTGATTTGGTTCACTGTCCATTTACTGAAATTAACTCTTCATGAAGAACAGAGAATGGAAATTAAATTGAACTGCTTGTACACATGAAAAGTAAACTACTAGTGACCTTATTCTAAAGACATAAAAGGACCTATTGCCATTACTTTAATAAATAATTATTTCTGTGGTTCAAATGACTATAAATGCTTTCAGGGTAAGCTGCTTAATGGAAAGGAAATAGCGGTGAAAAGACTGTCAATGAGATCAAGGCAAGGCCTTGAAGAGTTCAGAAATGAAGTGATTCTAATTATCAAGCTTCAACACAAGAATCTTGTGAGGCTCTTGGGATACTGCTTGGAGGGAGATGAAAAGCTTCTTGTCTACGAGTACATGGCGAACACTAGCCTCGATGCCTTCTTGTTTGGTTTGTTCCTTTGGTCTCCCATTGATCTGCTGCATACTATTTTTTTTCTTTTTTCCTCTGCATGTCACTTAATTCCTTGTGAGAAAAACATGTCGTTAGACTTCATGATTTCTCTGTCAATGATGGCTAGACCCTGATGCATTTTAACTAAGCACATGACTAGATCACTGTCTACATTTTGTCAGTCAATCAAAGCTGCAATACAGTTTTTCATAACAGTAATAATTCTACTCATTTCCTACCAATCATTCTCAAATGGTTCATCAAGTTGTCCAATGTGTTTAATTTCTTTAATGGGAAGGCACTACTAACCCCAAAAAATAGCAGTCACCATTACGTGTTGTATGATCACTATTTATCCCAAACCGTCACAGATTCACATTTCGAAAAGCTAAAACCCTGCATTTGGGGCGAAGGACAACCCGATGGTCCTGATTCAATCCCATAGCACTTATATGCTGTCTTCTTTCTTGTTTGAATTATTAAAACAAAAGGAAAATATACTCCAGCTTGTGTAAATACTAAGGCTTGTTAATCTCATGAAAGGGCTTTAGCCATCTAAGAGAATTGTTCTCCTAAAATATTTCAAGAATGCAGATCCAGTGAAAAGTAAGGAACTAACTTGGGAAAAGCGTGCAAACATAATTACTGGAACTGCGAGAGGCCTCTTATATCTACATGAGGATTCTCGCCTCAAAATTATTCATAGAGATATGAAAGCAAGCAATGTGTTATTGGATGACAAGATGAACCCCAAGATATCAGACTTTGGCACTGCAAGGATATTTGGAAGCAATCAAATTGAAGCCAACACTGAGAAAGTTGTTGGCACATAGTAAGTCATTTCTATCATTTTCATTCTTACCAATCAATGTTTGTCATACAATGAGAACACAGTACTAGTAAATGACTGTCTCACAACCTTTACACTTTACTTTTACATAGATCTTGCTCAATGTAAGTAGCAATTTGGGAAATCTCCGCAAAGATATAAATTCCTTCATTCCTTATTACATTAAACTCAATTTTTCTTTCATTATCTTGATGCTATAATTGACTTCAAAAAAACCTTTTCTTTGCCCTTAACAGTGGCTACATGGCACCAGAGTATGCACTAGAGGGACTATTCTCAATCAAGTCAGATGTTTACAGTTTTGGGATCCTAATGTTAGAAATCATAAGTGGAAAAAAGAACAGAGGCAATTACCACTCTGACTGTGGTCAAAATATTCTAACACATGTAAGTGTTTCTTTTATATTCAATCTGTTCCGAGCTGCAAACATGAAAATTATTTCTGATGCTGAACTCCATCAAATATGTTCCTTAACAGGGGTGGCGGCTTTGGAATGAAGGCAAAGGAATAGAGTTGATAGATAAAAACATAGTTGATACTTGTCCTATAAATGAGGCTTTGAGATGGATCCATATAGCCCTGTTATGCGTTGAGGATGACCCTGCAAATAGGCCAACCATGTCTCAAGTTGTTCTCATGCTAGGGAGCAAAGCAATAAATCTTCCCCAGCCATTAACACCTCCATATTCTGTTGGTAGATTTACCACCATGTCTGATCACTCCTCAACATCTGGGTCACGGACAGGGTTTCTCTCATCAGATCAAACTTCCACTAGTATTTCAAGTTAGTAAAACACTAATTACAGCTCTCTCTTTTTTTCTGCTTAACAAACAGAGGAACTTTTCGTTTTAGAAATGTTATGAACGTTTTTCTTGGAAGAATCTTTTTATTATCTTCAATACTATTATTGTGACAAGTAGAGAATACTGAATTACTGATTGTGAAGCATAGTGAAAACATCTTGTACCATTATCAATTTGAATTTAGTAATGGCAGTGTAAGTACTTGTTTACTGCACATTATACTACTTCGATTGTTAACTACAACTCCAAAATGGCTTAGGCTTTACTAAATAGAATGCCTATTACAATAAAAAAGATAAGCAAGAGCAAAAGTCACAATGCTAGTATCAAAACTATGCTGTAATGGCCTTTCAGCTGGAGCAAGACATGCTTGGCGAGGTTTAGAAGTTAACCTGCCATGCCAGCATTTCACGGTGGTGAGCTTTCATTGACTTTGACAGAAGTAAAAAACATAGTGGTCCCAGTGATGTAAAGATTTCTGAATTAAGAAAACCTGTAAGCCGTTCAGCCTCTATACTAACAGATTGCCTGACTTGCTTCTCCCTCATTTTATTGGTTGATTATTTTTTAATTCTTGATTTCTTGGTCTCACTCGTGTGTCAGCCTCTACCTGTCTACCAACACCAACTGACCTTTGACTTTAAAGAATGACTAATCACAATTACTTTCCCAAAGGCTTCTTTCTTCATGTTTATGCAGATTCAGGTTTTGGCATATTAGTATGAGAGTTCTTTTATTAGTTCATGATTGATAAAGAAATTGAAATTTTCATTTACAAGAATAATGAATGTAAAACAGTATCAACAAATTAATTAAAAGTTCACCTCAGCAGTTCCACCCTCCATGACAGAAGTTAAGAAGTCGTTTACATTGATCAGAAAGGGAAATTTAGATAATCAGTATAATATTGCTTACTGACAACCCAAAATTTTTATCTCCTGGATATGATATCAGATTGCTCTTCCAGACTATAAAATTAAAAGAAGCTTTAGCACTGCCACCATCATGGCAACTGCAACCACTGAACATAGTGATGATATTCTGAAGCCTACATTACCAAATAATATACATCAGTTGCAGCAATACCAAGTCTAAAAATCCCAGTTTCTGTTAATAAAGACTGAATCCATCTGAAACACGCAGTAAAAAACTAAAAATAAGAAAATCAAAGCCATGACATCACAGAACTCACCTTCACTTGCACGGGAGGAGATGTTGAAAAAAAACTGAAAATCATGGTACCACATGCTACAACTTGACCCATAAATTTCCCATCCTCTTTTATTTCCAACTGTAGTTCTAAAAGTCATCAATTGATTATCCAAGCATTTGCTACAGTCACTCCTACTGATATCTCTGGTGCACTGAGCCATCCCATATCTCTTCCCAGTTGCCCCAGCATCGAAGACTGACGTCTGGAATAATTGAGGCTGCTTTGGAGCCGTGATTGCAAGTTCAGTCATAAAGTTAAACCCTCTTGAAACCACTGATGGATCATCAAAATTTGTATCATTAGTTAAAGCCTCTGAAGTTTGATCCCAAATACCAAAGAAATCCTCATCCGAATAGCGAAGAAAACACCATTTGAACCAAACCTTAACCTTTTTACTCTGTGAACAGTCATTCTCAGCTACTCTGATGGACTCCTTGGTGCAATTTTCACAATCTGGTCCAAAAACATCACCTCTACATTGTGCAAGACCATAAATCTTGTTTGATCCTTTTCCTTCTGTAGATGTATGGAAACCATGCTGAAGAATTCCCTTTGCAGCCAGAGAATTGAGAAGATTGTTGAGTTTGGTTTGAAATGCATTTTCAGAGGTAGAATTATCAGCCTCTGAACATTCAGTACCAGCAATAGCATTAGTGTCAGCATGGCAAGGTCTGAATAAGAACAATATTGAAGTTGACAATACAATAGCATTGAAATTGAGCATCTTCATCTCTTTGATAAATTTATGGGAAGCAAAGAAGGGAAGGCCATGAATGTACAATGGTTTTAATTATACCAGGTCATTGTCAAATACTCAAATCATGGCAATTTCACTTTTGGACGTTCAAAGTCAACTCTTCATGCTCTAATGTGCAGAATATACATAGTATTTTGAAGGGTTAGCAATAATAAAAAACTCAAGTCAACTGAAGCAAGTTGAGGTTTAGTTAATAGTAAGGTTACCTCCCCACTTGTTTTTCAAATCAAGGGATAAGTACGAAGCAGGAACTGAACTTTACATGAGATTACAATAATAAATTAATGATAATTGAGAGAATCTAGGCATAACTAAGCCAGAAGTGTTAAGCAAATGGATTTCGTAGATGATTTTGAAACCTACTTTTTCTATTGATATGGATGAGGATAGCAAAGCAACCTATTAATACCCGGAAAAGTAAATCATTTTCTTCACTCTTTCACCTTCTTTTTCATATTTCCATCATTAACTCATCACCACTTTGTGCGCTTAATGATTTTTGTATATTTAATTCTGAATCAACTTATAAAACATAGTGACTTTGTTCTGATTATTAATAGATATTGCCCATTTTATATTCTTTCTTACACTAAGAAAAAAATGATTTAAGTGGAAGAGGGGATATTCTTTTATGCTTTGGGGTCTGGGTTTGAAGCCCCTTTACCATTCAACACAGAACTCATAAAACTTAACAATTTTTATAATATCAAAAGTGATTCTAAATTATCCAAAACCTTTTTTGTTGTGTCAACTTTTTAGTGTTTGGTGAATTAGATTAAACTATTTTTTCAGATTAGAGAAAAAATTTGGGAATGCTACTTATCATGAAAATTTGTGTCAGGTCTAAAAAAATTTATAAAAGTAGTCTTAGAAAAGCAGTTGATTGATGATTTTTGAAAATGTATTTGATAGGCATTCTTTTAAGGAACTAACTGTTGATAAATTCAGAAATGTTTTCCAACCCAAGGTTTGGCGAAACGATACTTTCTCACCCTTCAAGTTTCAAAATGACACTTTCCCACCATTCGTTAGGTTGTGTTATGTTTTCGTTAATATTTTACTAAAAAGATGAAAATACCCTTAAATATTTGACTTTATAAATTTTTTATTATTTTTTAATTAGCCAAAAAGTCAAAAAAGAAAAAATAGTTAGCCCCACCTAAAAAGTTAAAAGTAATGCAATGAAATTGTTTAAAGTTAAATGACCTTAATATTTATTTATTTATTTATTTATAATGTCATCAATATCCTAACACTATTATTCAATAATCTACTAAATTTATAATGTTTTTTATTTTTACTAATTAATATAGAAAATTAATATCAATTAATTAAATAAACAAAGAAAAAAAGATATCTTTACACTTGAACTAAAAATAACTAAGTAAAGACTTTGACTTAATTAAATTTTAATTTATAATAAATTAATTAAGAAATAAACTATTTAAAAGTATTTTCATCTTTTCATTCAAATATTAACAGATAATAAAGTATCATTTTGAAACTTGACAAACGGGACAGTGTCGCTTTACCAAACCTTGGGTGGGAAGATGTCGTTCTCCCACGAAATTATCCCAAATGCATCTATACTTAGTAAATGGACTATGTTATGCCATCCGGATCCTCAATATGGGTAAATTAATGGGCCGCAGATTTTAATTTATAAGGGCTGCCACGGACTGGGGCAGTTTTTTAGAGTATTATTATTTTAGTGAGTGAAAAACATACGTCACCCAAACTATAGTGAAAGAACATTTTCTACCCCTGGTTTCAGAAACACATGAAGTTTTACCCTCAGTCTATCTCCATTAGAGAAATTTGTCATTTGACATGGGTACAGTTGAAGAAATAACTAAAATACCCTTGGTTGTCTGACTTCCAAATATCTAATTATTTAACATGTCTGTTGTGTGTGATTTTTCCTTCAAACTCAAAAAATTGTAAGGTTATAGCTGGATCCAGAACCAACTCAACTCTACTAATTATTCGACCCAACATAAGCTTGTAGAGTTGTAGATCGACCTAGCACAAGCTAGTTGTGACCAATCCTTACAATTGTTCAACCAATTCACAAATAACTTCAAATCCTAAGTAGCTNGATCCTCAATATGGGTAAATTAATGGGCCGCAGATTTTAATTTATAAGGGCTGCCACGGACTTGGGCAGTTTTTTAGAGTATTATTATTTTAGTGAGTGAAAAACATACGTCAACCAAACTATAGTGAAAGAACATTTTCTACCCCTGGTTTCAGAAACACATGAAGTTTTACCCTCAGTCTATCTCCATTAGAGAAATTTGTCATTTGACATGGGTACAGTTGAAGAAATAACTAAAATACCATTGGTTGTCTGACTTCCAAATATCTAATTATTTAACATGTCTGTTGTGTGTGATTTTTCCTTCAAACTCAAAAAATTGCAAGGTTATAGCTCGATCCAGAACCAACTCAACTCTACTAATTATTCGACCCAACATAAGCTTGTTGAGTTGTAGATCGACCTAGCACAAGCTAGTTGTGACCAATCCTTACAATTGTTCAACCAATTCACAAATAACTTCAAATCCTAAGTAGCTCGAAAAGGATCAGATCGTCAACAATCTTTGTGCAATCACAACGCTCAATCGTAAGAATATCGGAGTTGCATTTCAAACGTTATTGTAATCTCTTTATTTTTCAATCCTTCCTTTGTACAAAATCTGTATATAGACCCCCTCCAACGATGAGAATGGGGTTGGCAAATTATTCTAGGATTGTTATTGTAAGCTCTCATAACAAATACAAAAATAATGGACGAAGGCTCAAGAGTATAACTCGCCGAACCACTTTAAAAACTTCCTTGTCATTTACTTTACTGCATTTTCCATTTATTCATTGCTGGTTACGCATAATCACACATACATCAGTTTCAATCCCATCAAGGTTGATCAGATCGCTCTAGTTGATCAGTTTCAATTCTATAGACTTCACACCTTCCTATTTCAGTCACGACGACTAATGCATCCTCATGAGGGTGATTCAGTCATACCACGTCTTTTTCAAAAAAGGTAATCTCCTCTTCTCTGCATACTTTACTAGGTCGTGGTGCCAAATTCAAAACATTTAAGGGCTCATGCCGAGCCTCTCAAGCATACTTTTCTTGTGCATTCTGAGAGTTTCCGACTATATGAGGTCCCCCAAAAATAGTCCCTACCAGGTAGAGACCTTTGCAACCTTGACGCCTCTTCCCATTGCCCTCTTGATCCTTCTTTCTTATGGGAGTTGGACCATCAACATACTCTTTGAAGTGCCCTTTTTGAATGAGGTTTCAATTGCCTGCTTAATAGCTCGGCATTCATCGGTATGATGCCCATTATCCCAATGGTAACGACAATATATCTTGCTATTCCTTTTAGACGCAGGTTTCTTCATAGGCTCTGGCTCTTCGAGTAAATTAGCTTATTCTGATTTATCCAAAATAGCTAAAGCCGATACATTGAGTGGAGTGAAGTTATCACGGTCGCGATCGCGACGAGAAACTTGGGCATAGAATTATTAGAGTCAAACTGTTGTTTCTTTCCCTTTCTCTAATCGTCATCAGCCTATTTGCGATCAGATCTTCTACTACTCTCTCCCCGGTTGTCCTCCTTCCGACTGGAAGCACTGGTCAAAGGCCCGAGGTCATAGCGATTGAAAGTTGCCACTAAGTTTTCTATCCGCAAATATTTCTCTGTTAGATTGTAGAAACCAGTGAGGGAAATATCATCCTTAGATTGTAGTTTCTTCCACTGGTCGGTTTGCAGGCAAACTCCGGCTATAATCAGAGTCTGAATTGAATTCTCGGGTGTATTAGCCACTTATTCAATTCCTTGTGAAATCTGTTAATATAGAACTGGAGAGACTCATTCTTCTCCTACCGTATGTTAAGGGTATTGAAAACTTATGATTGGCCTGGAAGTGTCTCAAGAATAACGAACTCATCTGTTGCCACGAGTTGATAGACCTTGGTAGAAGCGATCTGAACCAATGTTTAGCGTGGGCAGTTAGAGTCACTGTTAAGCAAGGACATTTCGCCAAGTTGGAAATTTGATGAAGCTCCATGAGGTCATTAAACTCATAGAGGTGACCCTACGGATCAGAATTCCTATTGAATGTCCTCATGTTGGGCATTCTAAATCTCAACGGGAGAGGAGCAGTCAAAACTGTTGGAGAAAAGGGAGATGCCTCAACAACCTACCCTTGCTCATTCTGTTGAGCTCTAAGCTGATCCAAAGCTTGCTATAACTCCTCTATTTGAGGAAGCAGAGCCCTCTGGGGATAAGTTTCTACAATATAGGTGTGCTCCTTAAATTGCGATTAAGGAAGGACCGCAAATCAAAACCTTCCCTGCCTTGGCCATAGCCTTCGGCATGCCTTGATACATGCTAGTCGAAGCCTTGTGAAGGCACTGAATGGCTTTGGGAGTTCTCTCTACCTCCGTGGTGGTCAAAACCAACCCGCTAACGGTGGGTACTTCCCTCGCGATGATGGTCAAGACCATCATTCCGACGATGGTGGGAATCTCCCTACCAAGCACTCTTGTGGGGGTGGCCCTTGCGATGTGGTATAGGATGGCTCTTGATGCAACATATTGCCAAGTCACAAGGCCACAGGTTTTCTCCGTGGTTTGTGACCAGTATTCATTAGCCCTTTAGAGCCTTTCGACCCCTGCTCAGCCACTTGCTTTCTCTTGTATTTACGTGCTGTAATGCGCATGGTATGAGCTTTTGCTAGTTTCCATGCTTTAGCATGACCTACAAGCATTTTTGGAGGTGGTACCGCCTTATCAGAATTTGGCGGCAAAACCTGATCCAAGCAATCTGTCCTTTGGCTCATCGTTTGGAGGGTGTTATTGAACCTCTCCAGATAGTCCATCACAACTTTGGCTGAGAAGTCGAAGGGATGTCCGCCGTAGCACTTTGAGGAACTGGAGCTACTTTGGGAAGAGTAGTCTCTTAAGTGCGGGGAACCTTTTCGTTGTTGGCGCTAGCAAGCTCAGTTTCAAGACCACGAGCCATGAGTTTGCAGGTAGAACTGATTGATAAGTTGAGAT